GTGCGTGCGTGCGTGCGTGCGTGCGTGCGGGTGTGGGTGTGTGTGTGTCTGTGTGTGTGTGTGTCTGTGTGTGTGTGTGTGTGTTTGTGTGTGTGTGTGTGTGTGTTTGTGTTTGTGTGTGTGGGTGCGTGCGTGCGTGCGTGCGGGCGTGCGTGCGTGCGTGCGTGCGTGCGTGCGTGCGTGCGTGTGTGTCTGTGTGTCTGTGTGTGTGCTTGTGCGTGCGCGTGCGCGTCCGTGCGGCGTCTGGCGAGTGGCATGTGTGTGTGCGCGTGTGGTTGTATGCTTGTGTACAAACACACAAACACACTAACAGTTTGTGTGTTCGTGTGTTTGTTTGTGTGGTTTCTTGGTTGTTTGTTTGTTTGTGTGTTTGTCCATGGAAACATTCAATCAGACCACGAGACACGAGGCACAAAACTCACAAAGGCAAAGGCGATATTGGGAACGCGCAAAAAATAAAGGATCACACACACAAACCTAGACCACTTCAAGGATTCCTTATACCCCGCCAAACAGACACTGCATCAACGTTGACAGCCAACAGGTGATACCCAAACTACCCAAAGCAGTCCAATACAACAGGGATCCTTACATTATACACCTGAACATTGCCTTGTAAATGGTGGTATCCCTTTATTTTGGTGGAAAAAGCCATGTTTCAAATGGTTGCAAAATGTATCCTTTAAGGAGCCCTGTACAAGGAATCCTGGTTCCGGGTCGGCGAATCAAGTCCGGACCGCCAGACTGAAGGGGGCTCCTGACTTGAGCAATGGAGCTGAATGCACGGGCCCCGAAATCGATCTAGGATTTCGAGGATCTGCATCTGGCCCTTAAGTGTTTGTTTGCAGAGAACCCCCCAAAAAAGATGGTCCTTGTAGTTTCATTTTACCACCACAACACAAGCCTCAAAAAAAGACACACCCATCTTCAACAGTTTGACCCTGAAAAAGGCGCGAAGCAGCCGCTTACAACTCCGGACATCAATTAGTCAACCCGTCCCCCAATTCCACTGGGCTGAAAACACGATATTCTGTGCTTCAGGTGTTTTTTGTTTGAGGGACCCCGAAACGGCAGGTTCACCCTTTTGGAACCTTGACTAACATGGCCCAAAAGGTTTTCTAAGGTCGATTCAATTCGTTTTGGGCAAGTAAGACAAAAGTGCGCTTGTCCTATTTTGACTCCTAGGTCCTCCAGTAGAGAGGTTGGAATGAGGGTACCAATTCTTTTTTCTGTAGTCTATATATATAGTTTAGTAGGGTTCCGAATCCTCCCAACCAAAAAAGGATAAAAGGGCACTACTGGGGGACCTAGTCAAGGGACCTTTTGGTGGATTTCATGTGCGCGGGAGGGTGTATCATAGCCTGGATCCCTTCTGTTGAAAAAGCAGGGGGCTTGTGGACCTGACACGTCCCAACCTCCTTCGGCCATGGCTCCGCAAGCCGCGGGTATTGCCAGTCATGGCCGCTTTCAGTGCGCTGGCGCAAGGCTTCGCCTACCCGCGTCGCCAGGCGCGGGTTCGAAACGGGGCCCTCCGTTTGCACCAGGGAAATCACTGAAATGCGGGTGTCTTTTTTGGGGGGCCTGACAAAATGGCCTTCTCTGTTCCTTTTGGTGAAACCACCAGAAAATCACATATTTGGGTGTGGCTCTGTGGCTCAAAATTAACGAGCTAGATATGCAGGTTTTGGTCGTTGGTTCCATTGACCAAGGTGCCATTTTGGTACATGCTGTTGAGCCACAGCCATCTGGGTATCTTTTGGGGGACCCTGCCAAAATGGCTTGCGGTGTTCCTCTTAAGGTTTCCCTTTCAATCCACCAAAAAGGGGGGTACCACTCAAAAAAGACAGACCCATTGGCTGCTTCTGTTCCCAATTCCGACCCTTAAAGTAGCTTTAGACCCCAATCAAAGGGCACCACCTCAACGGTTGGTACTCATCTAGCCCTAATGTCCGCCAAAGAGTCCAATTCACGTCATCTGTTTAGGCGCATCCTCCCCCCAAGAAAAAAGGGAAAAAAACAAGAAAGAAAAGTGGCTTGCCTGTTCAAAGCTGCCAACGTGTGGCTTTGACGAGCTACCAACATTTGGACAAACGAACAACCGGGGATACAGAGGGAGCGGGGATATGGGGGGATTCCCTTGGCGCCATTTCCCAGATCAAACTTAAAGGTGCATCAAACCGGGAAGCCTCAACCGTATCCACCTGGTTCCCCCTGTATCCCTCCTAGTTGGTTTTCTTGAAACATGTTGCTTTGACGAGCTACCAACACACATACGCCTGCCACTATTCAGCACCCAAACGTAACCATCCCCCCCCAACTCCCCCGCCCCCGCCCACCCCACCCACCCTCAAGTCCGGGCCAACCCCCCCCCGTCTACCCAACATGTTGCTTTGAAGACACCAAGCGTTTCGCAGCCTCGCCTCGCGCCAGCCCACGAGCAATCGCGCGCCACGAGGAGCTTGGGCGCCGCTCTCCGCCCGCGCTTCGTTCCGCCGCGTCGCCGCGCTCCTTGCGCTCAACAACTCCTGATCTTCCATTTGGCTAAGACCCCCGGAAAAGAAAAGTCCAGTAGTACTAAATTCCTGTTAAAACCAACATGGGGAACAAATAATAATAATAATAATAAAACTGCTCTTAAGCAAATGGAAGTGATGTGGGCAGAGGCGTCCATTTGGTTTTGTTGGATGGCCCTGGGATATGGCATGGATCTACAGTGCCATCGATGTCTAACCAAACTAACCTAACAACAACACCTATGGATGTGGGTCTTTCTAATGGGTGTGCACTTTTGGGTACCTTCTTGGGAGTTGCTCAAGGGAACTCAAAGATAAGCCGCCATTTTTCGGCTCCCCCTATCTTGACACACTCCGCCATTTGGCAGTGGCTCGAAATTAAAGAGCTAGGGCAAACCGCAGGTTTTGGTTTCCGTGTTTCCACTTACCGATCGTGCAACCCATTTTGGAATTCCGGTTATTTGAGCCATACCCATTTGGGCTCCGCGAAACTGGGGGTTTTCCTTTGGAAAACCCCCTGCGAAGATCGACCAAACGGCCATCCTTCGGCGATGGCCATTGCCTTCAAAACCGGATCTTCGTGTAGAAGTCCGGGTGAGAGCCCGGTTTTCGACATGGCCACGCGAGCAAGAGAACATCACCGAATTTGTTCATGCTTGGATGGGCTAGGTTTTGTTTTGCGGAGAAAAAAACAATCGCATCCCTCAAACACATCCAATTGGACGAGGTTCGTAAAGAGCCAACGGCTGAAGGCAGCAGGGGAGCAGAAACTGGCGGCTGCGGCGCACTCTGGTGGCTTGGCAAAGATGCTGGACTCGCACCAAAGCACATCGCTGGCGGTCTGGGTCTGCTTTGAGGGCCCCCGGGAGATGCTGGAAGTGCTGGTGCTTGCCGTGCCAATGCTGTCTGCACCTTAGCCACGGCGACAAAAAGAAACCGGAGACTAAAAGAACAAGGTGCGGTGACAAAAACAAAAAAGGTGCACCTTGGGGGGGGAGGGGGGGGGGGTGCTAAAGTTGCAAAGAGCACTTTGAACCTTGGGGGGGGTTGCTAAAATGGGATGGGCCCGTTTTTTGCCCCTTTCTGCAATGGTCAGTGAAGGTTCTCTTTTTTTGTGCGAGCCGCCCGTGCTATGCTCATGCTTCCGAAAAGGGGCGAAGACTTGCTCGCCCAGCAGAAAAAAAGGGCACCGCACTTCTTCGTTGCGTTTTTGTTTTCCATTTGCTGAAGCGCCGAGAAAAAAACAAAAAAAAAACAATATATTTCAAGTAGTGAAACTTAAAACCAACAAGGGAACATACAGAATATGAATTTCACTAAAACGGGCGCGGTTGGGAGAACCCTACCAAAAACTCAAGCACGGCACTTGACCCCTTGGCTCGCCGTGGCGCTCTCAGCACGTTCTTTGCGGTGAGGGCTCGTGGCGCTCTGCAAGTCGCGCTGCACAATGCGAACGCCTCGGCTCGTGCGAGCCGAGGCTCCGAGCGGGACCTTTTTTTAGGGGCAGAGAACGTGCCTGGAGTCTCCATGACCCTTAAAAAATGGGGTCATTGCCCAAAATTAAGGGGTGACCCCATTTTTTGAGGGTCATGGAGACTCCAGGTAAGCGTAACTGGCTGGTGCTTGGAAACCTCCCTTTTGCTCGGTTGCTCGTTGGTAACTGGGCAAATGGTCATCCCCTGCTCATGTCTTTCTCCCAACAAACTAGCCAGCCAAGTCAAGCTTCTTCAACAAATATGACTCTCAGATACTAGACTGAGGGGGGGGGGCAGGAGAAAGCAAGACGAAGGTAGGGTGGCGGAAGAGCAGCTGTGTCAGCAAGGGAACATTGTTTATCTATCTATCCATCTATTCATCTATCTGATCTATCTATCTGATCTAATATATTGTATATATATAATATATTTAAGCACCTATATTACAGTACATGATAGATGAACATCCCACCTTCTCCTTGCACAACAAAAAGCTCGTCAGCCCTCGTCTCGAGTTTCGGATCGTACTTCTTCCCCGCCGAGGAGCGCCCATGTTGCAGGTCGATGAACCAGGGCTCGAGGCTTGCCATGACTGCGCCTCTCTTCTTATCAACTTGCTTCCTGAGGCGCTTCTGAGCCCCAAAGCGGCGAAAACAACATATGGGGAGCTGTCAAAAAAGGTCCACTTGGACACAAAGGGAAACCATGAAGTTCTTGTTGGTATGTACAGGGGAAGCATCAGAAACCAGGGTTCTTAGGTGGTGCGAAATGTATGGCCGGTTCCTTTTTGGACCCTGCCGCTACATGCCGCCTGTAAAAGGCGGATACCAGAAAGGGCCCGAAAGTCTTCGATTCCCCTTGCCCACCTATTCTCACTCCCTGGAGTGGATTGGCCAAGAAGAGTAACCAAATTGGCGGGCCCTTGAATTGGCCCTTGGGGCCGGGAAAAAGGTCAAGCGCTGGGTCCCCCCGAAGGGTAATGCCGTGCAAGGAATGGAGCCTTGGTGTGCCAAGAGGCCATGAGGCAGTTGGGAGTACATCTTGACAATTCAAGGCCTACCCAATCTGACGGCGATTGACCCCAAATGTCCGTACCGGGCGGGGGTTTTGTACAGGGTTTGCCTTTTCCACTAAAATGAACAGCCTCCCTCCAAAAGGGATTCTACACTACCAGGTCGCTTCTCTTTCCCCATCTCTCTTCTCTTCCCTTCATCTCTCACTCATGTCGTTCCACTTCCCAAGAGCGCGCGATGGAAGGGAGAAGGGACATGAGGATTAGAGAGATGAAAAAAAAGATGGGAGAAGAGAGGAGTAAACAGACAGGAAAGGGATGTAATCACCTGTCTGTCCTCTCTTCATCTCTCATTCCTTTTCCCTGTGTCCTTCCTTCTCTCTCGTTTACTCCGTTCTCTCGATCCAAGATGAGGACACGAGTCAAGGAAGAGAGAGAGAGAGGAGAAAAGAGAGAAGAGAACTAGAATGAAGAGATGACGAAAGAAGGGATATCATGTCATCTGGATTCTTCATTCTAATTATCTTTCCCTTTCTCTTTCTTTTCCCATCTTTTCCGTCTATTCGCTCATCCCTGTCCTCGCTTCTGTCGTTCATTGACCGCGGACGGAGGTAGCTGGGAGAATGAAAGAAGGGGGGCTGCATATTTATCTCACAAACATTGGAAAAGGCAAACCAGACAAGAGCATGGATGTGGAAGAGCATCCAGGCAAACCAGAACAAGGCAAATCCTCACAAACATTGGTTTTGTGGGGGGGGAGCCCCAGACAAGAGCCTGCCATAGCTGCTCGGAACCCCATCCCAGCCGTGGCACGGCCAGCTGAAGAAGAAGAGCTGGACCTTTCGTGTCGAAAGCTTAATTAAAAAAAAAAAAAAAAACGCCCGGTGCAAGCTTCACTGACCTCTAGGTCCTCCAGATTTGAGAGGTTAGAATAAGGGTACCGATTCTTTTTTCTGTAGTCTATTTTAGTAGGTCCCCCAAAAAGGGGAGAGAAGGGCACAACTGGGGGACCTAGTCCCTCACCCACTCGCCTCCACTCACTCACTTCACGAAACTGAGACACACACACACACAACTCGTACCATCTAGTTTGTGGCAGTCCCTGCCGTTGGTCTCCAGATAGCTCATTGGGGGATTCCTCAATGTGAGCCATGAGTGCTACCAGTGATATCGCTTCTATAGCGAGAACTTGCTTGCTCTAGTTGGGTGTGTCCTTTTGAGGGTACCCTTTTTCAGGTTGACTTAAAGGGAAACCACAAGGAACACCCACCATCTCGGGGTCTCCCTGAACAGCACCTCTCCAAATCACCAAATTCAAATATCAATATTTTCAGGGAGTGGCGTGACTTTGAGAACATCAATTTTTGAACTGCCAAGCCTGGGAAACGCGACTGACCCGTGGCGAACACAACTCGCTGTGCGGAGCAAGTGCAAAGTCCCCCAGCCTCCAGCTCCCTTGCGCTCGTTTTGCCAGGAACCCATGCCACTCTTTGACGCATCTCTTGACCCAAAACTAGATGGCAATTTGTTAAATGATTAGCACCAACCAGTGACACCCATCTATTCTCAACCGAACAGACCCAAAACTGCCAGTGGTTTCAAGAATTCCATTCCTCTGGGGGTTGATTCCCCATTCTTTTCAATCATCGTTCTTTTTAAAAACCTGCCGTTTTCCCTGGGTTTCTGGAGGTTTTCTGCAAAGAAGGATCCCTGGAAAGAATGGGGAAGGTACCCCTAGAAATCCATTTCAACTTCCCCTCCCCGCCCGCATGAGGCAAACCGGGCGCGGATCTCGGCCCTTCTTTAAGGCGCCAGCTGCTCTCCGAGTAGAAGGCGCAAGCTGCGGAGCTGTGCAGGCCTCGGTTCGCTCAACATAGCCTTCCATTTGGTTAAGAGCCCTGGAAAAAAAATGAAAAAATCCAGTAGTGATAAATTCCTTTTGAAACCAACAAGAGAAAATAACAAATATTCTCAAGCAAATGGAAGTATCAGTCCAGGCTGACCTGGGTCCAGTCTTGGGGGGGACCCCAAAATGGGGTTGGGGTGCCTTCCTTTTGGTTGCCCGCTAAAACAACACAAAAAGAAGGGGGTACCAGCAACAAAAATACACACCCGCATGAATTGGAGCCTCAAAAAATACCTGTCAACAACGTTCTGCCAAACCAGTTTTGCCTGTCATCAACCGTCGTCTCGGAGAAAAAACACACACACACACTGTTTCCGTGCCTCCCGCAAACAAACGCATCTGCTTTGCAGCGAATTGAAGCCCCAGGGCCCCGAAACAAAAAGACGGAGAAACCCCGTGCCCACCATTCAAACCGTCGTACCCATCCGAAGGCAATTTACCATACATCGAATTCACAGGCTGGCCATACCTTCCATTTGCATTTTGGCCCCCTCAAACATGAGAAATCTAATTCTCCAGCTCGATTCGCTTTAGCACCAACAGGGGAACATAACAAACATATATTCTCTCAAATGCAAATGGAAGAGACGGGAAATCTCCGGGTAGGAGCCTTCCTGGGTTCTCAGCTGAGTCATTGTCAAAACCGATCGGTATACAAATGGTCGCAAAGCATGAAGAAGGCGGAATTCCGCACCTATTTATTGGGACTGTCGCGCTAGATCCTTCAGTAGAGAGGTTAGAATAAGGGTACCCTTCTTTCTGTAGTCTATTTTCGTGGGGTCCCGAACCCTCCCAACCAAAAGGGGTAAAAGAGCGGGCACCAATTGCTGGGGGACGCGCCCAGGTTTGGGGCCCGTGGCGCGAGTTTTGCCCGGGCGATCGCTTCCGGACCCTCGGAGCCTCGGGTGCCGGCTCTTCGCCTGGGCTGCGGTGCGCTTCTGGCCGATGCCGTCCTGGCCGCTAGCGAACTTCAAGTTGACGTTAGGGGAGCAACAAAAAAAATCCCGATTTTAGCCATTGGGTGGATTTCCACTAACAACTAAGCAAAGATATAAGATGTTTCCCAACAACCATGCGAAGGCACGGTCAGAACAATCCGCCGTTGGGAGGTCGGGGACCCGTAAGAAGGGGGACCCGTGCAATGGTCTCTGACGCGGTTTAAAACAGGATGCTACACATGATTTTCCCTCGGCGCAAGCTGGCACCCAGTCATTACATCCCATTTGGGGGTCCTGTGATCTTCCGAGGGCTCAAAAAAAAGTTGATTAGCACAAAGGCCCCGTGTCGGAATCATTCCCGTGCTCTAAACAATTTGACCACTACGCTCCTACTCCTGTACTACTCTCATTTCTACTCTTACTCCCACTACTGAATTTGAGCAGAACCCTGCGGTTGTTTCAGCTGCCAACCCCCTCCCCACAATGGCAACCAGTTCCCCTGTGCCAAACAGGCCAGTGCTTCCACCCCCGACATCATCGGCCCGGGCCTCGCGTCGAGTTTGGCTTAGGTCGCCCCGCGCGATGTTTTAGCCGTCTCGTGCAGACGTTAGACCTTTTAGACATGGAATAGTTCAGCCCTTCATGTTTTGTTCAATGATGATCATATTGTTGTGTTCCTTTCTTGTTCGAATGTTTGATCCTGCATCCCAGCATGGACGCCACCAAGACCGGGCTCATGTGAGTGGAGGGGACGGTAGTGCCATGATCCCAGCTGATGCATCAGGCCAATCCTGCAATATACATATGGTCCCCTCCAGTGGATGGATGCCTGGGCCTATGCATACTAAACTGTAAACGCTTGTCACTGTTGCTGATTCCTCGGGTGGGGGGCTATGATGAACTTCAAACAATGAGACCGTGGATACACAGCAACCAACAGGATGGAGCCTTGTGATAATTAGCTCATGTTCGCGTATTTCACCATTTTAACATGACCTGCCTCCTGGTTAAACATCAAACTTGAAAGCGAAGGATATGTTGCCATTCACTGGCATACGCTGATACGATGCTGAGCTTAACTGGACGTTCAGAAGGGACGTACAAGGGGCGTCACAAGCAGGGGTAACTCGAGGTTGAAGTTGCAAACATGTCGACCATCGAGTTCCGTTTTCCTCAAGATATATCCAACTGGCTGTCGTACTGGCGATCCTAGATCCGGAGATCACAAGTGGAAGCCCGGTTCCTCATTGCTGCGGCCAAGCAACAAGTCCAACACCTTTGTGGATCCATCGCTCAATGGCAAAAGCCCGGTGTCGCATTCCAACTCTGCAAATCCTTCCCTTTCCAGCCTGACAAAGCAGGCCTCTGTAGCCAGAGTTTCGTTCTAGCAAAATCAACAAGCACCCGGTTTTTCTGCGGGTCCTTGGAAGACCAAGGTGGTATGACTTGTGTTCATTTAAAGGACACATCGAAAGAACGATCCCAGGCGTTCGAAACCGGGTTGCCGGTTGACGCTGCTTTGGGGTCTTTTTTTGGGGGAGCAAGTGAGTAACCGGTTGCTGGATCAAAGGAGTTTTGTGAGGAAATGGATTGGACCAATGAACGGCTGCCTCTAACGTTCCTTAAGCAACAGGTGCTCTGAGTTCGAGAAACACCCGAAACGAGTCTGAGAAAATTCGGCTCCCTGGGGTCAGAAAATGGCGCAAGCCGTCAATGGAAAGAGCTTCTTATTCCAATCCAACGCACTTGAATACAATACAAATACATCTCTACTCTTGGTAT